TGCATTTTCAACTTTTAGTTAACGATATGAACTTAATATATTATTTAACATTTAGTTATATAAACCTATACAATTTAATATTATGTGCAGCATCACATATATACTGAACGATTTAATAGAATCTTGTTTATGTCTGTTTAATAGTATTGCATTATACGCAGTGAAAAGGCAGAATATAAATAAAAATATGTACTTATATACAATACGTGTATACATAATTAAAACGGTATCGGTTTTATCTCATCAGTGTTAATACATATTAAATATATCATATATGTATTTTCAATCAAGTTTATTGACGATAACATATTAATAAGGATAGGTATAAATATTGGATTTATTGAAATTTCGTAGCTTATACCCATTCTTTAATATATGAAAATAATACTTATTATATATCTAATAGTAATAGGTACATATATTTGTGTTTTATTTTTTTCCACTTGCACGTTTCATCATTCGCTTAAATCAACTAGTCTATTCGTATGACATTAAAAGAACGTAATAATTTTAATACCATATTGTTTTATTTTTACAAAAACAACAATTAGTTACTTACTATACAGGTTTTTTCCGTCGATTTCGTAAACCATAGGTAAATATACAGAAATTACATCAAACCACAAATGTATTATATTATATTATATGATATTGTGATTAATCTATTTTTCAAATGGAGTAAACAAAGAAAAATAAGTAAAATAACCGCATTATACGGTATACAGAGTTCAAAAAATCATAAATTGAAAGCGAGAGTGTAATTTAAAATTTTCAGTCAATTGATGATGTTAACGATTATAATTCAAAGATCAAAATGGACAGCTACATGTAAGGTGGCTATATTGTCATACATTGTATTATACAATTCAAAAAGGAGATCAAAAGTCAGTACGATAGAAAAATTAGAAAATGAAACTATTTGTTCTTTGTTATTCTGTTTATGGCGAATTGAGATTGATTTCATTTCAGCATTACACTTGACAAATTCAAAGACAATAATATGCTTTCGATCTATATTTACCGCAATGTGACGTCTTGCAGTTGGTTACCCGCGGTGTCTCAAACTCGGTCAATCCAACATCGTGAGATTGAAAATACACATCCCATATCATAAATTATACCACGCTCCTAGGGACAAATTTATTTTAATTTATAAAAAACGAAACACTAGTAAAACGGTAATAAAAAGTACCTAATATAGGTAATATGTTACTCAAAGTCCATTATGCACCAATTTCGAAAGCACTAGTTGAGCTAGCAATATGGACTTAACATTTTTATCATTTTAAACGCAATTTTATAGTAATTAGAACACAAATATTCGCATATATTTATAATTTATATAATATTTTAAAATTTCGAAATCAAAACACAAATGGTAAGATTGCTTTGATTGTCGCTAAATAAAATCTCGAACTTAACTTTGATATTCGGACTTATAAAAATTACAAAATATTTACAACAAGTTTAAAATTATTATTTAATCAATAGACATTTTAGACTTAAATGAATACTACATAATATATCATTTTAAGAATTTGTATGCGCATATAATTAATAAAATATAGTAGTTTGAAATGTATGTCATTATTAAAATAATAATAGAACATGAAATATAACGTAATTAGAAATAACTGCCATAATATTTACTTTCCACGTTGACCTTAACATAAATCAATAAACATACTTTTAAATTATTTGTTTTACGGCTACCATCAGAGCAATCGAATAAAGTTATATAGGTTTTACAATATTACGTGTAGTTTTTCTTCGTTGGAAAACATTTTACAAGGCTGTTAAAGTAAATATATACTGAATATTATTATCAAACACGTTTATTTTGATAACACTTTTTTAATATTTTTGAATTGTTTATCATTAGTTTATAATTAAAAATAATAACAACAAATTAATTTCTGGTAATAAGCTAAGTTAAATGAGGCAAACATTCAAGGCCTAATTATTATTAAAAATGTACATCCATTCCGATTTTTATACTTAAAATTATCTTTTAAATTTGAAAAGTAAAAATATGCTAATAGGCTACGATCATTATATATTATTCTCATACAATCACATACAAATTAGGGAAATGTACAAACAGAACACTATTATATATACTTATATTGTATTCCATAATTTTTATAAATATTCAGAAAGTAATAATTATAGAGTTCAGGTTTATAAATTATAATTTGAAGTAAGTAATCTTTACCCATAGATAGGAAACATTTTATGTAAAATTGAAGGTTTTTATATAAAAAGCACTTAGTAAACTTGTTTTCTTTTTTTTTTTTTTTTAATCGTGATTATGATTAAAGTCATGTGAATTAGATGTGCTTAAATAAATAATTGACAAATTTTTATTAGATTAGTCGTATACAATTTTCTATTGTATAATTTTTTTTTTTTTTGTATGTTTGGTATCTAAAAAAGTTTCAAAAATCATATCATTTATAAATATAACTATCTTATATTACAATACGCTATCTTTTTATTTAATTAACAATGATGAATAGCAATCAATGCTAAATGTGAAAACTGGATAACAGTGATAGCATTTTTAAAAGGATTCAGCTATTATTTAATAATATTCTACACGATAAATTAAAACCTGTGACAAATTCTGTCTTTTTTTTTTTCAATTGGCATATTTATTTAAAATGCACCTTATTTAATCAAAATTATAATATACTAATCGTGGATTTAATATATATGATTAAATGATAAATTACAATTAATTAAATATATTTTTTTCTAATCTTAAAAATTAAAATAAAACTTAATTTAATTTTAATTGCATATTATGTCATCATCACGTTATATTATCGTTTAATTTAATTTTTATAACCATTAACTTATTGATTTCTTGCGAAATTTGGTAAACTTTAAAACATACGCGACAAGACTTGTCCAATAAAAATTTCTTCACAAAAATATAATTTAAATATTAATGAGAATAAATTTACTTCTCGTTCGAATGTTCGCAGTCACGATCATATTTTATGCTTTCATATAGGAAAACATTTTATTAATATTTTATCGGTGATTTATCTTTAATTAACATTTATTCGTGGATAAATAATATCTGAAGAATATTTTGACTGATAATTAATCCAAATTCTCCATTTGATCACACACCGAATTTTTGACAAGTATCCTCGCCTTCACTTGAGTGATTTGAGGACGACCACGGTTTTGTTCCATGACTTCACACGGACCGTGATCGTCAAGTATGTCTAGCAACATTTCAATTGTCATGATCAAAAATAATTCACGTCGATGGCGTTTCTTAAAAACTTCGTAGTAATACTGCAGAACAATCTATTCGTAAATATTACATTTTTCAACCATTCTATTACAGAAAACCACAGTGTAAGAGAACTAAAAGGTACAAAAACTTTTTTTTTGAAAATTCAATTTTATATATGATATAATATATTATATTATATATTATATATATAATATTATGCATGCACATTATATGTTTGATTATCAATGTTCTATAATTAATTTTCATAAACAATCATTTAAATTCATTATTATTTAAAAAGTTATTCAGAATTAATAGATTTTAAATCAATACACGATTTTCAAATTTTTTATTTAATAATGATCTAAGTAGCGTCGTTTAATACTTAATTGTTAAAACCAAAAAATTATATTTATATTATTATAAAATCAATTTTCCATTCAATAATAATAAAATTATTTTTATTTTAATATCACGTCATTTATTGGTTTAGACAATTTACTCATAACCTATGTTGTAAGAAAATTAAGAGGTAGGCGACTTAATTAATTATATTTAGTATTTCTACACTTTACTATTGGCGTATAGTATAAAATATGTAAAATCATTATCTATTTAAAAGAAAAACCAATGTTCATTATTTATTATTTAGAGGTTAGTTACAGTAAAAACATAAATTTCAGAAAAAAAAAATGTCTAAGTTTAAAAAATATATTAACAACCAAAAAGTTCCATACTCTATAAAATATTTTTATTTTACGTTCAAATTTTTTATATCAAAGTTTGATCTTTTTATACAAACATTTGCTTAAAATAAATAACAAATTTCATGACTTGACGTAGAACAGATTAATGAATTAATTAATTTTTAAACTTGAAAATCAGAAACAACCATTTGTTATGAAAAAAGATAATATTACAGTTTGAAATTTAAAGTCACTCTGCCGAACGAAAAGTCTAAAAATATGTGCACAACATATTATCATGAGGTTAAGAATACCTAAATGTTGCACTCACATCATAATATACAAATCACGATTGGTGTACGAGGACGTTCGTTCGTCAAAGTTTCGGTGACCTATAAAAACGCGTACGGCGTATAACAATACATTTAAAGTAATTCCTATTCCGCGGTCAAATATTATATTATAATTCGATATACTCGATGAGAGTATAATATCATATACATCGCGCCCGTGATATATTGACCGTGAAAAACATAATCCGGACCAAGACATGTATATCTAAGTATAAAGAGGTAGTAATATACATACACTCGTATGTATATGACATGTATAATATAATATAAATTATTACTATTATTATTGTTACTTTTCGGTTACTGACAATCGTGGGTGTTGCTGGTGGTGGTCTTGGTAAAACGGAGAGGGGAAACGTGGCTTATAAATCGTTAAACCATCGAGCCGTATACTATAATAGTATAATGCGCATTATAATAATATACTATACAGGCAACCTATAGGCGTTCAATGTATTATACTGACCGTCTGGTCATCGTTTGTGTAATATCGATTTCACGGATGCGCGCAACCCGCTGCAGTCGATGACGCGCGGACGATATAATACGTTCAATGAATCGTGCTTGACGATAATATTATAAACGACGGCGGAGAGAATATTTATTATATTATGATGATATACAAATCGCGTGTGATCGAAACGTTAGCGATGGGCGACTTGTCAGACTTGATGATTAATTCGTTTTTGTCATTTTTTTTTGTTACAGTAAACGGGCAGGCGAAGAACGCTGGTACGAGATGGGCGAACGCCGAGCTGGAAGCGGCCGACGAGGCATCGGACGTACAGATCTACAAATCCGTTGTGCAGTCAATGGAAGAATGGAAACAGCGGAAGAACTCGTCGAAAAGGTGCTAAAAAAAACTCCTCTTGCTAGCTGAGAGTATTCTAATAATATTATATGCGTTCGCTGTCCGGATCACCGAAACTCGGTCAAATTAACTCTTGTTTAATTTCAAAAACCGAGAAAGTCGTAAATTAATAGTAATGATAATAATAATAGTTTACGAATGAGCTGATATTGATGTACTAAAACGATGCGTGATAAAACTTGGCTGCAGGTGCCTCTACCTATATAATTCTGCTGCAGTTGTGAATTATTATGACGAGAACGTTATTAAATACGACAGTTGTAACGGTCATAATATTATATACACTACTCATATTATATTATTACATTGTATCGTATATATATATTATTTTCTAGTACATGGTGTATCATCTATATTGTTCTGATTGGATGCCGAACTGAGTTAAAAACATTAAATACTCGATTTAAAGGGGATACCGTGTCCTGAAAATGTAATAGCTTAACGCAGCTTATAACTGTAAATCGTTTATGACGCTTAGATTTCAGTACCATATAATATAACCCACTGAAAATAATTTTATAATCTATACGGTTTCGTAGAATTACCGATCATAAGGTCTGGAAAACAAATCGAATCCTTTGTAGTGTACAAAATACCATAAATGTAATATTTGATAATTTGTGATAATATTTTCTATAATTCATTTGATGTTATTAATTAGAACAATGTTTGAATGTTATTTAAATCTAACATCTGTGGTTTAGTTTTTGTCTGAATGCTTCTACTATAGATATAGTAATAATAAGTTGAAAATTTAATATAATAATAAAGCGTGAAATATATACGTAAGTGGAAATAAAAGTATGTACCGGAACAAACAACTTTATGCAGAAACTATAATTGTTAAAAATATATAGGTACACATGTATATTTTGAATAAGTGTTTATAAATAATTGAATGGAAAAGTATAGAAGTAATTTTTTTTTAAAACATATAGATAATGATATAAAAAAAAATAATTATTTGAAAACCTAGCAAGTCTGATTATAGGTACTTACATATTGTGTCGTCATATTCTATAATATTGATCGAACCCGAACATTTAAAATCATAATTAATAAAATAAATAAATATATTATATTACACATATTAGGTACTATATAGGTACTTCAATATATATTAATTAAATGATACGTGACTACTGACTAGGTAGGTTTTAGAATAAGATCCATAAGAATCGCACGCATATAGATACGCCCATCGCCGTCAGTCGAAACACATTAATTGAAAACGTATTCAGACAGAGGTCCGACCTCCTAATAATAGAATTCACCGTTGGGGCTGGGAATGCGTCTACGAGTATATGGTGTAAATACGAAAGAACGTGCATACACCTGCATCTCCATAGTCTCGACATTGTGAGATATGTCAAAAATACTGTACTCGGAATCATAAATGTACCGTTACGGCGTTAAATCAATCTATCATCATACGATGATGGGCGTGAACAGACGTTTTATTATTTTAAGAGGGTGTATTTTACGTTTGTTGCAATGAGACTCCGATTCTAAACCCAAAGATTTAAGAAGTTCTAAACGCACGTGAATTAAATTTATATTATTTTATTTAAAACCCTTTGTCGACCGACGGTACTTCTGAGTGAGTACCACAGGACAAATAAATATATATTAAATAATATAATTCGGTTATCTTTATTGTGACCCGTTGGTACGCACAAGTACCTCTTTAGCTACAAGAAAAAAATAAAACTATGGTCCAAATTTAGAAATATACCGTGTAAATAGTTGTCAAAGTAAACAATGTACACTAACATTCTTAGAATTAAACATGCGAACATTAGACTGGTTTTTAAATACGTACAAAAGCTATTTTTTAGCATTCTTATCCGCTAGAATTGTTTGTAATTATGTCTAGATTATAAATATTGTAATTGTTTATATCTCAATATATTAAAAGAATGGAAAATATCTGATTATATGCAATGGACTCAAAAGTACCGTCGGGCCGTTCTGATTAGCTATTTCACGTTAGTCATTGGTTGTCCTGTCGACAATATCATGTATATCTAGATTCTATCATTTTTAGAATTAAAAATAAAATAGTAATCATATGTATAAGGTTTTAAATATTTGTTATTATATTAAATGCATATACATATTTTGGGAAATTTGTATTATTTAGAACCCAACATAATATTACAATTTTAAAAATTATCTTTGCAAAAATAATTTTTTGATTTGTATAGATTGTATGTAAAAAAATAAAGTGCTAAATGACCAACGGTACATTTTAGTACAAGGGTCAAAACGTTAAACTGACCAACGGTACTTTTAAGTACCAAGTACTTAACTCAAATTTGGGCTAAAAAATTTTTTTTTAAAGGTGCACTTATTTATCAATAGGTCAATTATTATATTTGTATGCAAAAAAAAATGGAAAAATAATTGTAATTCTAAGTTTGGTCAACAAAGGGTTAAAACTATTGCTTATAAAATTTATTTTTTTGAATAAATACTAAACAAACGCTTTTGGTGCAATGAAAAATCAAGTAAAAATTTTAATGGTGATTTTGGAATAATTCAAAAATCGATAATATGTGTCATGCTCGTCATATAACGGTACACACATCTTAAACAGGTTAGGTTATCCTAAATAATGTTATGATAATTAACAATCTTTAGACAGTTTAAACAGATAATTTGTAATCCTTCAACCAATTTCGGGATTTTGTACTTAAAAAGAATAATAACCTTTTACATGTTTGATTAGTATAAGAGGTGAAATAAAAAACTATAATTAAAAATTTAAACTATTTCTATTGTTTTACTTCCCAAAATAAGTTTTTATTGCAAAATTTTACCTAATAATTTTTTGTTTATTAAAATTATTATTAATTTTTAGTTTTATAACACAAATATATAATATTATTATGAGTGATGTGGAGTTTTTTTTTTTTTGCGATTGTTTAGTTTGATAAAAATATGATAATTATACAATGTTACTTTAAACTTTAGTAAATTACAATAATAATCCAAAAAGGAATATTATTATTAAATTCTTTAATTTAAAATTTTTTGTTGTACATTATTTATATTTTATATTTATTTAGTGTTGACATTTATTGTTATGTTCAATCATTTAAAACTATAAACATGTTATTCAATAATAAGTAATAACTAATGAGTACCGTCAAAGATATACTAATAGACATATTTAATTATCAAATAAACCTTCACATAATCGATTTGGTTCAAATTATATTAAATCGCATAAACTTTCTAAACATTATTTTTTTATATATATATTTATCAAATATTTTTTAATTAGGCAGAAAAATAATTCAAATAAAATAAACGGTTTATTAATAAATATATTATTCTAAGTTGAACGTTATATGATGTTACAAAAAATGACACCGTTTTGCATGCTTTGTTTGCTTAATAATTGTAAAATATTTACATATTTTAATAACGTAATTGAGCTCGTCAACTAATTTAATTAAGTAAATAAATAAATAAATTAACAAATATTATAAATTAATTAATGAAATTTAAATACAATGCAATTGTAATTTAACCACCGCCTAATAACCATGCATTTTATTCTCCAAAATTAAATTAAAAAAATAGTGGCAAAAAAACAAGGAAATCAAAAAGTACATTATTTCCTACTTATTTTTAATATAATTATATAATTTTAAGTGTGAGACTTAGAAACGTAAATTTACTTTACAAACAACATTTATTATATAACTCTCACATCCTGAAATCATCTAATATTTTTCAAACTAAATATGCATAATTTATATAATACACCCGTGTACTTACATAATATAAATACGACTTATTAGTATTCAAGAACAAGCATCTTAATCTACAAATTAAAATTTATATTTAATCAGAATTCAAAGTAAAAAAAATGTTTCAATATATAGTTATCATATTAAATCTATTCACCCTTATTTACTAAAAGTTTCAATTTAAATATTTTATAAATTGGTTAATCAAACTAACACAAATAAGTAGATATTATTTTAATTTTAATCGTTTTTATTGACAGACAAAAAAGAGCAGAAACTAATGCCTGCTATCCGGAAGTAGGTTGCTTCGACACTTCCGGCCCTTATGGTTACATCGGAATGGTACCAAATCGTCCAGACGAGGTATTATTATGTTAATGTAGTATTGAAGTATTACTCGATTTTTTGGAAATTTGTAAATAATATACTGATCAATTTTCGTTACGTATTTTTTTCAGGTTAACACGAGATTTTTATTATATAGCTCGAGGAGAAGCCGACGGGACACACCGCTATTAGACGTGGCGTTTACAAATATGACATCCATATGGCATTGGGCTGGCAAAGCTTTCAACGTATCTGCGCCCACTAAAGTCATAGTGCACGGATTTGGGAGCTCCTGTTCCAACGTGTGGGTATACGAAATGAGATCGGCGTTAATGGATGTGGTGAGTACAGAGTACATAATAGACCATCATTGACGGTGGACAGTTTTTCTAGTATTTACTATTTACAACAATAAATATATATATGTTTTCGTTCAATAATATAATACTCGTTAAACTTACCTTAGAAATTTATTTGATATTTTGAATGAATCGATTTGTGTACATGCAGTCTATACAATCGGTGTAATATTTTTGTAGGAATACGTCACGCGTGAGTGTATTGATGTTATATATATAGTATAGCGTGTTATATTTGGCTTACATATTTTTATAACGGAAAATAACTTTTATTTTATAAATACTAGATGCCTAGATATAATACAGATTGGATAGTTGTTTTATTCATTTTTTTTAATAGTACACCCATTGACGGGATGAAATCGCGTGAAAGGAAACGATGGTTCAATTCGATATATTATTGCGCCTTTTATTATAGAAATAAGAAAGATTACACTATTCGTTATTCGAAAATAAAACGAATACCAATATTGTTACTTGATTTCTTGTAAAAATTAATTTATAGAAACTAAATTGAACGAAGTGAAATTAAATATAATATCAAAAATATTGATTACAAACGGAAAATGTACATTTTTAATACGCAACCTATAAACAGCAATATAATATTTATTAGTATGTATAAAATACATTATATGAACGAACTAAATATCGTTAGAGTTCTTAAAAAAAAATGAATTTCGTTCATACTAACGCTCAAAAAATAGTTGATAATTTATTGGCATGTAAAAAGGAGTGACGTTCACATTTCATTAGCAAAATATAAACACAAACGCCGTGAACGTGTTCTTTCCAAACACTCCACGCGCGTATATGGTATATATTATATAGGTGTGAAAGTAATTAACAAACGACATAGAGTGGATTTGTGAATGTAACTCGATTTTTTCTAAAGACGTCGTGTGAAATATATATTGATATGATGAATAATAATTTTAGAATAAAATCTAATCGTCGAATCATCCATAGCTTCATCGTGTTTTGTATAGTTGTATAAAGGATGATTCGTCAAACATGCTCATCTATATTTTATCTTTTATTATAATTTATTCACGTTCTATTTTTTAGAAATTTTCAAATATTCTTGAAAACCATATTTTTAAATGACAGATTTATTTTATTACTTGAGGAATATCATATCTTCTGCAGTAGTTATTCAAACTTCTAATTTAAAATTAAACAAGTTTTTTTACTGGAACTGATATTAGTTAGAAGATAATTTTTCTGAGAAAGTTGGCATAAAAAATTTGAACAAGTAGTATTTGAGTTATTTTAACTTTGTGTACTCAATATAATAGATCTAACATTACATCTATTTTTTATTTCAGTAAGACAATTTTTAAGAACTATTGTTCTTGGTATAAAAATTTTAGTACATGAAAAACTACATCTTCTTTGAATTCGAAATTAGGTTGGTACATCAATATTTTTTAATCAAAAATCTCAAGAATTTAAAACTATATTTTTAGGTATACTTAAAAATGAAAATAAAATCAAATATGTGTGACTGAATTATTCAGAAAGAAATGGTTAACATATTTGGTGAATCATACGTATATTATTAAATGTAGACTCATACGTGAAATACTAGATATTATATGATTACTTTCATATATAGTTTTTTCGAGATATTAGGTGCATCTTGAACATATTATAAACAAGAGTACGTTCATCGCCAGATTAATATTACGAATTAGTAGTTGCGCAGTGCGAACACAAATCTAAAACGGTCATAGTTCCAACACTACGATGGCGCGCCGCTATCAAAAATCGCATAAGCACTGTACGTTTCCAAAAAAAAAAATCACACGTGTGTACTATGCAAAAACGACCATAGATCGTTGATCAATCGAATATCGTAAAATGTATAAATGTTGAAGTACAATTATCAATTTTTACTTTCTTCTCCGTAAATATAAATATTGATTAAAATATTTTTTAGTGAGAATTTTTTTATTTTTATAATTACTTAAAGAAACAAAAAAAAAAAAAAATAAAAGAGGTGATAAAAGAATTTGACAAAATATTTACAAGCTCAGAGTACAGTTTTTAAAAGACCATCATTCACTATGACCATTTAAATAATGAATTACGTTAACTATTTTCCAAGACACTATTTTCAATTGACGTAAATTATATTGAATATAATTATTAATTATATCGTTAAAATTTAAAATTTAAAAAAATAACGATACTAATAATGCACTTAATGGAGATAAATAAGAAATAAATTAAATAAATAAATAATGTAATAACGGCCATAAATAAAATGCTTTACCGACATTGAAATGAGAGTAATGACTAACTATCGAACACAATAACGTTCACCGTTCGATGTACCATGCAAATAGTAATAACAATAATTACGACATTCAATGGTCGTCGCATCGCGTATTCAATATTGGTAAAGGAAAAAAACCGTTCGAAATTATATTATTATCATTTATCTCTATAATAATAATAATTATATTATTATTATAATTTATCATCGTCGTTGTCATTTCGATTGCGGTCTGAGCACGTGAGCAATGATTACTGAAGCGTTGCATTCGCATGATGACAACGATAGTAATTATTATGTTCGATAATAATAATTTTATGACCGAATCGGTACACGAACGTGAATCATCGGTCTTAATCGCTTAAATCGGGATAATCTTCACAGACGAAAAACATTACTACGACGAATGCGGTTTTTTTGTTCGTAGACGTCCCAATTAAGCCCTTGCGCCGATGACCCCGCGACACTATAACACATAATGATGTATTATAATTATATGTACCAACACTGCACTTGGCGTCATTGACCCAGTGGCGAGACTGTACGCTAGGAGAAGCTACTTCCGCGTGTTTCTGTTTACGTCGCGATATTTTATTATTATTATTGGAAAACGGACGACATCAATAGTACTGTGTTCGTGTGTGCGAGCTCGTAAACCGGTAGGTATATTATGGAGGCCATCGAGATTTACAAATTATTATTATTATTACTATTATGTCCACAAAAAATCTTTGAACCTGAAGTGGAATAAAATTAAAATACAAGTAAAATTCTAAGTTATACGCGCCAAAAACATAACGCTATAACAGGAAAACAGTATATTGAGCGTCTACTAAATTCCTCATAAGTATCAGAGATACAAATTCAACTCTTAACTAAATATACCTACAACCTACTAAATCTATTTAATTTGAATCTGCGATAATCTGAATAGAATTATGATAATTCGTAAGGCTAAGAAACCACATGGAATTGGAACAAAAATAAAAATAAATCTTTTTTTTTACAGTGATCATAATAATTATACTATGATTATTCAATAATACACCTACTTGTACCTATTATTTTAAATTTTGACTATCGATAAGCATTTAATAACCACCTTAGAGTACAATTGCAATATCACCTTTTTCTATGTGATATTAGGACTTAATGCATATATTTGTATATAACGATTCGTAAACATTCGGCACTATCAAAATTTAAAATTTCCAAAGTTAAGAGCCATCGCGTTAATGTTTTTTTGTCAAAAGTATAAATTTTGGAAGTGAGGAGAACATTAAAATGACGTTAATTCATATATTTTAAAACAATACTTACTGCCATCACTTCTTTACTATTTTTACTTAAGCATAGTGTTATAAAATGTATTTTCTATTTACTTATTATAAGGAATTTTTTTACGTCTATATAGTGACATAACTTTGAATAATGTATTTCAAAAAAGTTACAATACTAAACATACTTTTGGAAAGATGTTTTTAAAAATATCGCTAACGTAAAGAAAAATTCATTGTTCGCATGCCATTTTGAAATATATTTTTCTATCTTTAAATTATAATTTATATCTAGTATAAGTTAAAAATCATATTATATTTTTAGCTAAATTGCAATAGTCTTTATTAATTTGTGTTTTTTTTTTTTTTTTTTTTTATTGTTAGTCTACCCAGTTACTGTGATTTTTCACAGGCAAAATTCGTAAATTTAAAATATTACAGTAATTTTTCAATAGTTTTTTTAGAGGGGCTAAAAAATTAAATAGCTATAAGGTATGATAGAAGATTACCACAAATGGTTTCTAACCTTATATACTATTGCGTTTATGCTACAGGTCGATTGTAACGTCATCTGCGTAGACTGGGAAGCCGGGGCAATCATACCCAACTACGTTCGAGCCGCGGCCAATACCCGGCTGGTCGGCAAACAGGTGGCCATGCTGATCGCCGGTCTGGCGTCCAAAGCGAACCTTCCAGTGGAAAACGTGCACCTAATTGGTTTTAGCCTGGGTGCACATGCGGCTGGTTATGCCGGTGCCGAACTGAAGAATCTGAGTAGGATCACAGGCCTGGATCCTGCCGGACCGCTGTTCGAAAACCAGGACCCCAAGACCCGACTGGACTCGACAGATGCCAAGTTTGTAGACGTGATCCACTCCAATGGCGAGAACCTCATACTAGGAGGCTTGGGAGCTTGGCAGCCCATGGGCCACGTGGACTACTATCCGAACGGCGGCCGCATGCAGAAAGGCTGCTCCAACTTGTTCGTGGGTGCCGTCACCGACATAATTTGGTGTGAGTAATACCCATAAATTATTTTTGTAACATAATTTCCGTAGGATATCCGACTAGACAGTCATCTAGCGCATAAAAATCACGAGAATGACTAGTACGATTTAATCATCGAGCGGGTATATTATAATTTATAGCTATACACTTTTTATTATTAGGAAAAAACTATTATGACAAAATCATGTTTTTTACTATTATTATGCAACTTCTTTTAATTATTATCAAATCTAAAGAGAAAATATATACTAGATAATATTATCTTCTCTTAAAATTGAAATTCGCATGACAAATTATTTTAGATTTATTTTGCTTTAAAATTCAAATATCAGAAAACATTTGACATCTTGTTTGATACTGGATTTAATAATAAATTATTTTCTTCAGTTTTAGTCTAAACTCTATTGTGATGATAAATAATTCGTATTTATGGGTATCAGGCCTCAATGTTTTCATTGACTCTTATTTTTCTGATAGACAATCCGACAACACACCTTTATATGTATATGCATACCTCACTATCTGTCTTCAGACACTCAGCAATTAAGTTTTCAATACAAACATGTTTTAAAATTAATTTTATTTTTAGACAACTGAAAACCAATTTTTTTATCATTGTACTGTTCGGGCGTAGAATTTTATGAATACAATATACTCGTTCTGTATTACAAAAACATAACATTTATATATTATATATATTTTTATACGTGTTATGTAATTTACCATTAAAATTTAGTAAATAAAACAATTGATTTATATTACAGTGTGCGATTTATATATGCAGATAATAATTTACATTCATATTGCATATAGTCTCACAAAATTTTGATTACATCATAATTCATAACTTTATAAATAATATGTCTTGTAAGAATCACAGTCATTTAGTTATACTACTATTTAATGCAGTGTATACAATAATGCGTTAGTGCACGAGTGCACGTGTACAAACCAATATTATTGAAACAATATATAGATATATTCTTAAACGGGTTGCATTCCAGAAAACGAAACATCTTAAAAAAACACTCATACGATTAAACATTTTGGATCGTATTGGGGTTGACTGTTAACCGGTTCATCTTATTGGTATACCTGCCTTTTATATTTTATAATAAAATAATAATATATACATATACACCATGCAGTTAACAGCTACAGGTAGGGCTCTATGTTCGAATCTCGCAAAATATCGTGAAAATAATATATGAGCACAACCACCAGTCACCGCCAAATATTATTCGAATGTATTTTAAATTGGTTAATTTAAGATTCACTAGTTTTCGTATTAAGCAAAAACATTTATAATAATTATAATTATGTTTAACACTAGTGTAGGTTAAACAAGTATCGACGAGACTAATTCGATAATCATTTTTATTATAACGTGCCATAGATTTTTTTTTTATCGTCATTATTATTATTTTGCCATTGGTAAAAAAAAAAATTACACTTAATAAAAAAAACTCCAGAAGTTTATTATGCACAACAATTCTATATAGTTGTATGGGTTTTTATTAATATCTAATTATATCGTAAATGTTCTACAGTTGAGAATTTGTAAAAATTATTTTATCTACGACATAAAACCCATTGACCCGTATAATAATATAAAATATGTTAGGTAGGTACAAAACAAGCTGGCCGACTGAAACCTCGTTTTACGCGTTTTTTATGTAGACTTAATATGTTTTACTTGACAGTTTATTATAATAATTCTTAATGTATACTTAGGAACGTATATCTAGCTCGATGCACCATCACCACACGCAATGAAATATATGTGGATTGGTTTTTTCGCGTTTACCGTTACCATACTATGCTTACGCGTGTTTTAAATCCTTTCAATTTTTGTAAATATCATAAATATACTACCTATCTTTCTAGTCACTGAACAAAATCATAGCGTCTCGACTCCGTCGCACCTATATACATACATATCTAACTACAGCTGTGAAAGTTTTTTTTTAGTCAAATCCAAAAACCGATTGTATGTAAATATGCAATATTCAATGGGAGTTGTTCATAAGCACAGTTACGAGCTCACAACCGTTATATTTTCAATTTTGTACTCGTCCCAAATACTAATAAGTAATATCTTAAAATTTGACACAGATTACGTATAATCGTCTGCATCGAGCACGAATCATCAAATCGTCACGATTCTAAAAAAAAAAAAAAATCGTTAATGCCTATATGCAATGCAATATTACTATTCACTACCATTATTATACTATCATATTATTATTGTATATACACGAACACCAAATTTCATCATCAGACTCTAGTGTAATATACATATAACCAAACTGTGCAATGTTTATTTGACAAAATTTCTCTACGACAGTATTTAAATTATATTGCTCGGATTCGTTAAATACACCCATAACGAATCAGACTAAATTAATGGGTGCGTTCTGTGCCGACTATACCGCCAACAAACTCTTTCATTTTAATATCGTGTTAGATTTCAGTTATTATTTTTAGTCTTACGCCCAAATGTCACAACAAATACAACATGACCCTTAGCCAACATTATTCAGTTGCGTGTTTACTGACCACCAAATCTATAATCAATTATACGAGTATTTATTTCAGGCCATTGGTGAAATTTCTTAGATAATTTTCAGTAATGCTCAAATTCACCAGCTCGAAATTATAGATATAATCGCTTTTTTAGTTGTGAACGACTAATGATCCAATATCTATAAATTATATATTGTTATATAAAAATAACGTGACGTTAGTTAAATAAATAAAACAACAACAAAATAGTTGTGAACTCAAAAATATTGAATTATACAATACAACTTTTAATATGGTTATTGATTCCTAGGGAACTCGATGACATATAGTTATGTAAATGTTTGGTTATAAATATTTTATGACTATTATTTTATAATTATTATGTTGCATATAAATTTTAATATCACATTCGAAGTATTACATAAGAATAACATAATTGTTATGTATACGAAAAAATAATACTTACATATTACGTTTATGCTAAGCTTTATAACTGGTGTATAAAAACTATATATGACACATATTAAGTCCAAAATAGGACCATGATAAACATTTTTTTTCAAAAAGGTTACGGTGATTTAGCCACTATATTATAATAAAGTTTAGATTTTAATAAAATAATATAGATACACTTCATAATTTCCTATAAACACCAAGCGTACACTTTTGATTACTCGCTTATTTTTAACTAAATTTGTGCTGGACTAACTATTATCTTCTATCACTATCAAAAAAATATCTCAAATTACAATATCCCCATTAAAATATTCCATGATAAAATATCCCGCATAAATATTAATTAAAAAATGTAACCTTTATTATAAAATGTTATAATTATAAATATAATTACCATACTCTATCTAAAATAATGTATGTTGATCGTTATTTAGAAAACGGTAAAACATATCGCGTACTAACCATTTATAATTTATACTTGATACATTTTATAATATGAATTTTTGAATTGCTCATTTTTTTCGAAAAATTTTAAAATAGTTAGTCCTACGTTATAATATTATACGAATTAGTTTTTAAATGGAAATTATTTACATGGAATTTTATTGCTCAACAACTAATTTTAAATGATTAAAAATATTATTTAGCTTAAAAAAATTATGTTATATTTTATTTTATTTTTTGTATAATATTTTTGGATTATTATTATGATTGCAATTATTTATCATAGAATGAAAAGTCTAGCAATCGAGGAATATTTTGGTTTTGGAAATTTTATCGGAAATTTTATAGCTGGAATATTTTGACATATAATACGCTTAGGAATTTAAATTTTAAAGCCATCAGCGCCGATATTTGATGTTGAAATCGTTGATATCAGTGACCCATAATTAAATACTTCAGTTCTATACTTATATATAAGTAGAGTATAATGAAAGTATGAAATATATTCAGTAGTATATACTTACCCAATGGCTAAAATTCAATTTTAATTTTGCGTATATTTTTACATTTATTATAGTTTGTTAAAATTCATAATTTTGTCGTTTTCTTATGTTGTTTGTATTGCATGTTTGAAAACAAAATAAAGATAAATAAAATAACATGTTAATCACAAACAGTTTAATAATATGGTCTAAAAAATACTGTTTGAACTACAAAATTCCTTTTACATGCCAATAATTTGATAATTTTAATAATATAATTGATTTCACATGGCAAACTTTGGTGAAATGACACATTTCATACATGACCAAAAAAAAATACACCACCTTAAAATGTAAATAAAAACCTGTATAAGAAAAATACATTGTTATTCTAATATTAATATTGCCTAAAGAGTAAAGTGATTCAGGAATATAACCATTGTTAATATATAAATCTACATGTATAGTTTTTGTCTACAATTTTTACACTGTGCAGCTTAAATTAACAGGCGTACGTCAATGTTATAAAATTATCAATTTCTCAACATCACCTGCCTGCCAGTCTTATTAACAATGCCCAATCAATTTCATCATCACCGACCACATAACATAATAACTTGTTGTTTCGACAGTATATTTTATAATATAATATTCGTTGGATTTCAGCTGCGCCTGAAGTATACGGCAGAAGCCTGTGCAATCACCGAAGGGCGTATAAGTTCTTCACAGATAGCGTTTCGCCCAGCTGCGCGTTCCCGGCCGTACCTTGCGAATCGTATGAGAAGTTTTTGGAAGGTGAATGCTTCCCGTGCAAAGATAAATCCAAGTGCGGCAATATGGGATACCATTCGGACAAGTCTCCGGGTCGCGGGAAAATGTATCTGCTGACCAGGGATGAGGAACCATTTTGTGGTAAATATTATCATATTATATTATTATACATCGTTGTATAACATTTACGATAAGTACATATCTATATTATAAAGTTCGTTATCGAGAAATGCACGCGCATGCCGATCTCACCATCATCAGTTGTGGAATCCGTGGCCGTCCGTTAAATTGGTAAAGGTGGACGCATTTATTAGTTAAAAATGTATGTGGAAGTAAAAGTAAATAATCTTTTTTAGCTTTTTGATGTTTAGCTAGTTAATAATTTTCTTATATACTTGAAAACTTAACTACTTTAATTGACTGTTTATATACATTTATATTTTTCAGTTGATTTAAAAATAATCCACCAAGTTAATATTAAAAAAAAATGTCTATATTAATTATTACTATATACAGTATACACTATACACAGTATTCAATAACAATTATCTATTGCTATGATTTATACTATATTTTTATACCGATCCAAATTCCACATACTAATTAAAAAAGTAGATTTTTATTTTAAATTAAGTAAAGGTGGTATTTTTTTTCCATATTAATTCTAAAGTTAGTGAGTTAAATTTATGATTTTTTTAACTATTAATATTTACTTACACGCCTTTGCAAATCGGACAACCACTATGATATACTTTACCAATATAATACAACCACGGTCATTACGTTTATCCATGTAGCAACAACAATAACGCTGAAATTCCTTGTCAATTACAATACCATGGTAAAATAACTACTTGTAAAAGATCCACAGCCAAATATAGTCGAATCGTGTATATATAAAGTCAAGTATAGGTCGTTGTGTTATGAGACGTGTGATTGATTAATATAAATTATAATATTATAATAACAAACGATTGATACATCGATATAGAAATATTTAATCGTGTTATTGTGTACCAGTAAAAAATATGATCTATATACGTATCAAAATAATAAACATAGTATGACTAAATAAATCGTGTTACGACGTGATACGATCCAAGCTAAACATCAGTACTATCGACAATCGGCGCACCGCGTGTTGGTTTTGCATGTTACATCTAATATAATAATTTTTGACACCCACCCGTGACGAATATTCGTTAAATGGGTTTTTTGTTTGCAACAAAATAGACGAATTTTATACGGAGATGAGAGAATAAGAGATTATAAAACTTATATAATAATATAATATATAATACAATATTATTATCCTCTTTGGATTATTATTTTATGAGTTTAATGTGTTAAACAAAGGATTAATATGTCAATTATGTCATATTATTATATTAAAAATTGTTTGTTTTAATTCACAGTTTCTATACCTATAAATAGGTATATATTTTGAATATAAAATGCATACAATGGAAAACATAATAATATGGACGTATTTTATGCACAGATTTCAAGACTGTTTCAAAACCCGAACTAAAAGTTTAATTTTGATATTTTTGTGATAATTGATAATTTCAGTTTAATGGTAAAATGTACTAAGTAGGTACACATAATCAGTTCAATTTCAATATAAAAGTTATGTCTTCTTATTTTGTATATTTGTATACGAAACGGTTATCTTCGTTTGATTATTGACCTTAAATACTCACAATCTATAAAAATATCTCATTAAAACTGTACAAAACTACGTATTTTTTATAATAATTTTGTTGTACTTACAGAAAAAGCTTAAAAAAAAACTTCAAACACTGCTTGATATTAAAATAATACATTTGATTATATTAACCAAATTAATTATTTTATTTTCATCGCGAAAAAAAACTATTACTTACAACTTCTCATTGTATAAAATATATACTTTTTTTTTTATATATAGTTAAGTATAGGTAAATAGAGGAAGTGATAAAACATTTACGGTATGCTTAAATTAATGTTGAAAATATATAATATTATGTTGAATTATAATATCATGTGTTAAGTCTACACTAATGTAAACAATTTTTATATTTTTTCGTGCTTTAATTAGTATAAATTATTTGATTCGGTTAATTTATTAGAACTTCTGTTAGTTGTATAAACAATTCTGATACAACGATTAATTATACATACATTTATAAACATATTAAAAACAAGTTTCTGAAAGATTTTTTAAAATGCGATCTAAGTCGTTCCTATCTAGTCTATAGTGTAATGGAAAAATCACAAATCGTGTCACTCGCTTTCAAGTACAGGAAACACGAAAAATACGATTTTTTAAACTAGTATTGTAAATTTGACTTAAATTTTTTGATTTTTTAAGAACGCTGGCATATTATAATAAACTATCATGAATTAAATTATTAAATTATTCAACAAAAAACTTTTTTTTTTATTTCCTCACAATTATTTAGCACACCAATACATAGTCAAAATCTACAACTCTCCTAGTGCGTTGCCTGTGGTCAGCTATGGAAAAATACAAATCGTTCTCTTTGGTCAACTTGATATAAACGAAACATTTACCATCACGAAGTAAGTACCAACGTCCAATAAATAAATATTGTACATACCTATAATAATATGCGTTTTTTTCTATATGCATACGATAATAATCAATAAATAAGTATCTAAACAGAAAAAAAATCGATAGCGTGTTTGATTTTACGATTTACTACCTATGAATCTCACATATTTTCATATTTTTATAAGTCACAAGCATAAAATAGCTTATAAATCAAATACTATGGGCTTAGTTATGTGTACATTTGCTTTTATACTGGATTGTATCTAATATTATCTCCACCATATTCAAAATTACACGGTGTATGCACATTCCTAGAATGGGCCAGTAATTTATAACAACTGATTACTGGTAGTGATTCTGGATATGTTCACTAGTATAATATGATCTAAGGTCTTACCTTACCCCGCCTTCTTAGTAGCATCTGTTTCTGAGAACCTATTAAAAAAAAAAAAAAAGAATGGATCAAACACAATGCTATATTAAAATATACTTGCAAAAATACTTTCAATGTTTCCAATATTTTTATACCTTGGATAATCAGTAACAGCATTTTCGTGTATTGTAATTATCGTAGCAAAGACGATGCAGCGCTGTCGGTGGGTGAAACGATGAAAAAGATCATCGTGCCACATCCCGCGCTACAGGGCTTTAGTCGAGTTCAAATCACGTACACCGCCTACAAAGGATGGCTGTCAAATGGGCTTTCCAAATGGAGCATTGATAAGTTCATACTTACCGACAGTTACGGCAATAGGTAATAAACAACAACATCACATCTGTTTAAAGAAAATAGTGATATGATATTAAAAATGAATGATATAAAATGTAATTTTGAAAAACAACTCAAATTCTGACTAATAAGTACGTAAATTCACAAAAAAATATTGTATTAACAACCAATTTATAACTGTCCTAAGACAATTACTTTCAAGGTGGTGTACTAGCAAACTTGCTTTGACTATAATAAAGTGTCTTAAGGTTATTTGTTAGTTTTAAATTCAAAATATTCAACATTAATCAATATCTGATTTGTTTTTCTCTGAATTCTTTAATATAATATAATTTATGATCTCCCTTGGTTTAACGTTGTTTTAAATTATCTACAGCCAATCCGTTTGCCAGAGGGGCCTGGTTATGCAGTCGGAAGTGCCCGTCGTGTTGCCTCTATATCCGGGCGATTGCAACCTACCTGAACTGATGCTACAGATTAACGTAAGGAAACAAAGACAAGTATTATTAATATAGTTTTATGATCGTAAGACTTTTCAAACGATCATTATCATTTGTCTCCCATCACTATTATTGGTAGACATTATCGTTTAGCAAGAACTCTACAATGTTGAATAGATAATACGAGTATATTATCATTAATATTTTTAAGACTACGTAATAGTGTTTGACACAACATAATATGATTTCCTGTACTTACCTACTATAATTGCTGTAGGGTTCGGTTGTTTTTTTTTTCAAATTATCGAAACAAGTTTAAGATAATATTATGAATTATTTAATATTTCCTTAAAGATTAATAACACGTAACAAACTAACAACGTGAATTATTTCAAATTTAAATTAACATAAATTTATTCTAAATGATCAAATGTTTCGTTTAGAAACAAAAAAAATAATATTAGTATATTATTACTAACAAAAATAAATGTCTTTTTTGTACAAGAGTATATTATTAAAAAGATAACATTTTTTTTTTTTTCATGCAAAACTTAGATTTAAAGTGTTTAAAACATAAAAATGCACCAGGTCCAGTAATAATGAAACATAACTTTATCAAAATATAAAATGTATCCACAATCAAAATTTTCGGAAACGTCATAATTTATAATGCACTTTTTACAACACCGTGGTAATATAAAGAATTATTATTATACCTTGTAACATTTGTTATACATTCGCGAACTTAAAACAATGCAGACGCATCACGTTTTAATCTTGTCACCGATAATAAACAAACCGATCGCGTTAATGTTCATCACACAAAATTTAACAAAAGTTTTTTAGAAAATTAAATTCGAAAGTTGTGAATGTGTAATTTTAAAATGTTGACCAGTTACTTACTAATTTTCAATGATACATTCATTTACAAAACTAATATATATTGACTATATTATATAGTCATATTGCCAGTCTTAAATCTGAGAAACGAAAGAAAAACACGGATTTTTCAAAAATATCCATCGTCGCAGTATTTTTGAGAACGAATAAGAAATAATCAAGCTCTAATTTACATTAACGGTTAATAACGAGACGCAATTTATAGCGAACCATCTTACAAAAAAAAAAAAAACTATCCAGTTAATTTCGGCACTAAGTGACCGTTAACATTTAAAAGAAAAAAAACAGTACTCAGAAAACTATGCTAGATAAAGATTAAGGTTATATTTTTTTCATATTAATATTTAATATAATTTTCGGACTACCGTTTTTGTCGATAAATCGTAACGGTTAGGTCGAGTGCCAAATTCAACCGAACGAATAATTTATAAATTATATATACATACCTAATGATTATACGAGTACGTTATCATAACAAGACTGACAATCGTTTCAGGGCGGCGACATCAGCGACAAGACGGACTTGATACACGGCGGCCAATCGGAAGAGTACGGCCAACAGCACATCAACGACACGTCCACCATGCACCTGTCAGTTGGCGGCACCGGAGGCGACATAGACCTGACTGCTCCCGGTGACCTGGCCGCCGCCGCGGCCGGATCAGCCGGGCTGAGCGCCACGCTGGGCGTAGGCATCAAGGAGTACATGAACGTGCCATGGATGCCATTGGTGGACATCGAGGCGGGACCGGCCGGTAACAGCCTGGACCCGTCGTCGGACAGGCGTGAACAGTCGGGCCGCGGGTTCTCGGCCACCGGGACCGCAGGTGGCCGGGCGGGAAACAAGACGACCACCGACAGCGGCGACGCCGTTGGCGGTGCACCGACAGTTCGTCCCGCCGCAGAATCGGAAGATCAGTTCCCGTACGACGAGGCGGTGCAGGCGACCGGCGGCAGAGTGGGCGCCGGAAACGAAACGGCCGGAGAGATCCGCGAACCCGTGCTGCGGCCAAAGAGCCGGTTCCGCATGTACCGGATGCCAGACGGTAGCTCAGCCGCCGCCATTGCCAGTGGTGCCGGTAACGGAACGTCGTCATCGTTACCGACGCACCAAAACGGTAACGCGTCGTCCTCGGCCACGGCCGAACGGTCGTTCATCGTCCACCTGTTGCCGCAAAGACTGATGAACATGATAGAACAAGCCGAGAGGTACGCCCGGATGGCGTTCTCGCCGTTCATGTGGCCGACTAAAGAACGTGCGCAACGGGCGCTCAAGCAATTCCCAAGGTCAGTATAATAAATATAAATTAACGATATTAATAATGGATAAGTTACAAGAAAGTTCACTCTGCAAAGGTGCTGGATTCTCATTTACTAAACGCATTTTAAAACAACGTGACTTGCTTAGAGTTTCATTTTTTAGTGTGCAAGAATAATTTCGTGACCTTTTTGTTTTTTTTTTTTTTTTTTTGGTACCTATTTTTCAAACACAACAAGCATATGATAAACTTTGTGATATTTTAAGGTATTATGTTGTTCAACTTTTATAATTCAACAAATTTTAAACAAAATATTGCAACAAATATTTTTTTTCTCCGTTTATTTTGAATTTTTTTCTAAAACAATATATTATCATACTAGTTGTTTTTGCATGAATTTTCCCGTGGAAAATTAAATGCCCATAGATATACTTACCTCTTCTAATGTAAACTATGCCGATTTTTAACACAGTCATTCGGGTTGTTTTGAACAAATATAAAATATAAGTCTAAAATGATATCTAATTATAACAAGTATTTTATTTTCTGTTACTTTCAAAAATTGATAGTTTTTCGTGAAGTAACTACTTCTTTTGACATTCATGTGCTGACAAATAAAAAGTAAGTGATCAAAAGTAGTTTATGAAAATTGATTGAAAATTATGAATTTGCACATGGGTCATCCGTTTTAGGTCTTTGATTTTATATCACGATATTAAATTTATTAATTATTAAAAAAAATTCAATAATCATGAGCCAAAAAAATATTTCCGTGTGAATTCTAAAGTGTACATCCTCAGAAATAAGATTACCTACCTATATACTTATTTTTAGTACCATGATTGGGATAGATTTTCTTGAGGATCACTTATACACACATCCGCACACAAACATTGTCTTATATTAAGATTACGATTAATAATTCTTACAGTAACAATAATTACTATCTGACCTTAATATCATTATTGAATGTTTTCAGGTTTTTGTTCAACGATAACAAAACGTCCGAACAAGTTGTCAACGTTCAACACGATGAAAGCCCCAAAAGGTACATTCCGCTGACGTTCGGAAGCGATCGTCTAGACGAGCAAACGCAACAGTCAGGTGGACGAGCGATGCTAATAGAAGCAAGAATTGTGCCGGCAATGACCGATGACAGCCCGATCGTCGAAGAAGACTTAGACTTATCCAAAGAAGACATTAGATAAAATCCCGCTAAAATTTAGTCCATAGTTTAAAATAGTTATAATTTTTCATGTACTATGTGTGTGCGTATGATAAGTAGTATAACGATATGCACGCCAAAACAAGTATTAATTTGTGTATACAAACGTATACATAATATTGCATTAAACGTGTGTGCTTATTTATTTATCATGTATGATGTAAATATTAGCTTAGAGATTCCGATTTCGTCTAAAAGCTCAACTATATTGTGGAATAAAACAAAAATACGTAACGAATCGTATAATTTTAGTTCCTAAAAATTGTTGAAAATTCAAAATTCAAAAAATTAAATCATAGAGTGTCCATTTATAATTTTTTTATTGTACCTACTGTAAATACCATGTGTGCGAATCAATATTTCAGTAGTACCTACTCACTCATTGACGGCTATAATATTATAATGTAAAGGTTACAATTGTTTGTATATAATATTATAAGCCTTACGGGTTCACATCGAAATCGATAACCCTAATGAAATATTTATTTATATCATTTAGTTATTAATTATTTATATTTTAAGAAATTTAAATTATAATGAGAATTTTCGACGATTACTTTGTATGGTAAACTATTTTCCAAACACAGTTAAACGTCCAAATTATTTAAATGTTAAAATAAGTATTTAAAATATATGTTTATGTGTTTAATAAAATATAATACATACAATAATATAATAAATCGAATTGTTTTTGATATTTTATTATTACGTTCTTCATCACTTTATATTATTGGTATTACGTTCTTCAAACACTTTATATTATTGGTATTAATAACAAAAGCAAGTTCCTATTCCAAATCACCTAACGACTATGGTTTTATAATGTTAATAATTTTACAAGGCTGTGCACACAGATTATAAGTAAGCACCTGCCAACTAGACCTAGTCACATATTTAGCCTACCTACAGCTCTATAACTTATGAAACAATTTTTTCGGCATTTATAGAAAAAAATAGTAAACATTTAAATTTAAGGTGTTCATAAATAGATCGAAAGAAGCCAGAAGATTTTGAACATTTTATTTTGTGTAGAAAATACTAGTATAAACATTTTTTTTTAAATATAAAGTACATACGATAATTATCTATAAAATAGATAAAAAAAAATAATAATAAAATAATATAAATATAGAAAATAATTTTAAATATAATTTTGGAATTATCAAATATATATAATAACGTGAAAATCAATCTGAAGTTGACGAAAAATATAAATTTGATTTTACAATTTTTTTTCGATTTTATTAGATTAACCTAATTGGTTGAAAGTTATAACTTAAATTGAAAACTCTAAATCTTTATGTTACATCTGTGATAATGTTAGTAAAAACTCGGGAAATTACAAGTGCATTTTCAATCCCTACATAAACTAGAACAATAACAAATAAATTTATATATGTATGGATAATACTCATACCAGTAAATATTATCTGGACATATTTCGGTAGCAGTCTAATACTTACATAAAAACAAAAAATATTTGTGGTCATCAAAACTTTTGCCAGATTAATAATTATTTTTTAGAAATATGAAAAAAAATCTGAGTTCAATCCATGACAAAATAAATCTATGTAGAAACAAAATTTTTTATACGATAAGAATATTGTAGCCCTTTTCTGATAAGCTATGAACTCTAGTTTTGAGAAATTATCCAAGATTACTAGATAGAAATATAATTTTTTCACACGCTCAATTACTTATATATATATATATATATATATATATATTTATAATTACATTAATAAAACCAAACTTAGGCTAATAGATGGGGAGGCAAAACCCTAAGGGGCAGAAAAGTAAGCAGCAAAAATTGTTTGCTTCATGGTGACATTGAACCTTAACCCGGCTCTGGGTACAGATAGACAGTTACTATAAACAGTGTATAATAAACATAGTAATATAAATAATTACGCATAAAACAGAAACACATAGGTACTATAAAATATAAATGATTACAAATTGATATACCAGCAAAATTATAATAAAAATAGAATATAATATTTGATATTAAATGAGTTAATATATTATAGAAGTATTAGTACTAGCTTTGGTTTTATAATATTATACTAGAAACGGTGAAATTCGCTGTAAGTACCCTAGGTCAGAGACAGCGCTTGAGAAAAACCACAGTTAAAAAAGTCTAGTAAGCGAAACCAGTGATAACGACGTTTGTGACATTAATACTTTTGAATTGGTGGCTCTACACTTTAGTGGTGTCGTTTTAAACATGTGAATGCACAAATAAGTCTACGAAAGTATAAGAGCCAAATTCGAGTGTCTAGTTGTCAATCATCACAGGTGTAATATACCTTGTCCCATCGTTTTCCCGGTGCTTTTGTGTATGTAAAATAAAAATACATTCCGAAAATGGCAATTGAGTATCTAGCTATCAGTTATCACCCGGTGCAAGTCGACACCCGGCTGGGCAATCCGTCATAGGAATATAGGATGTTTATTTTGAATAAACATAAATTATCAATTATCCATTTAAAATTTTAAATATGCATACATTTTATCATTTTTTGTTAGTTATGAATAAAACAACTCGAATAAATCGTTATTTAAAATACTAAAAGTATACTGTTTTTTGAATACAACTAGTACAACAATTAAGAAGACTATTGACAAAACTTCTTTAAAATTCCCCATAAATTATTATAGGACACGTGTTATTGATTTATTTTCTACTTATAATTTATAAATATACTCAATACATGTGTACCAAAAAAACAAACTGTTTCAAACAACAATTTAAATGTCTATTTTATTTTAATACAATAGGTATTTAATATATTTTTGTTACAACGTATTCAGTTTCACAAGCGTTAAATGTGCTTATTAGTTATATAACAATACATTTCACATTTTCACATTATAAAAGTATGAATAAGTTTATATATAATACCATATTGTATAAAAAAATTTATTATCCTGTATAATAATTAATTTGGTAGGTAGTTGATTAGAATACCCATTTTATTAAAATGTAAACAGGTAGATTCCATAAAAAAAAAAATTCTGTTAGAAAAATGGTATAAAAAAAAATAAAATAAAAACCGCGATCTTATATAATATGACTAGGAATGAAGTAACAATAATAGAGCATACGACTTACATACAATTCTATTAATTAGAAAAATCTTTATCCAAAAGAAAGTTTAAAACACCATTTTGTGTATAATTATTAAAAACTTTTCAATTAATACGTAATACATATTAACATATTTACATACTATTAAAAACCACATAAATTTGTTCTACTACTAACTATATAAAGTAATATTGAAGTTAAACACAAATATTGTAGTTCATAAATCATTCGGATACATCCACATTTTAATTTAACTAAAATTACATGTATTAAGTTAATAATACATGTATTATATTGTATATTTTTTTTCATTTGCCTTTGTACAATTATTGTATATGTGCGTTTGTGAAATTAAAAAAAAAAAAAATTTGTTAAAATATTTAATTGAATATTGTTATATTATAATTAGTTTTAATTATATATAGAGTTATATTATATTTAGTCATGAAAAAAATTAAAAGTATTTCGTAAAAATTATATTAATTCAAATAAATAATCCGGTATATAAAAAATTTAGATATAATATGTTATATACGTATAAATGACGTAAGAAACACACTGAATAATATACAAAATGTTTTTTTCAGAACTATCACAAATTTATTTATTATAAATTACAATAATAATATCAACCGTACGGTCTAGGTAGGGAAAATAAATACAAATAAGACGCTAAATGTCGGTTTTTGAGTTGTAATAATGTACCGCGGAAGACGGAAGGGACCATTGCGATGCTCTCAACTCGATCAGATGCAGAAGGGTTTTTTTCACGGACGACGAACAGTCACGTGTCAGCATCACATCCCGAATGGATACGTACAATTGTTTCAATGTATCCGGAACCTCTTGTTCCAGGTCTCGTCCAATACTGTCCACGATGTTAAACAGGCATTCGATCTGAATCGAACAACATTTTATATTATTTGATATCCTGATATAAATACTGTATACATACAAAAAAGCTAAATTATTGTAAAGCTATTATTTTCAAAATGTTTACTCAACCATTTAGTTTTTTAATTACTTTAATAACAATTGTTTAAGGAATCTACCATGAGAACTCTTAACTAATCCCAGTAAATTAAAAAATTATACTTTTAGCTGAAATCGTATTTATACATATTTATAAATTATAACTATTAACTATAGTTAAAACAAATTACTTCATTTTAGTTTAATCACTGTAATATTTAATTATTTTTTTTTAATTTATGTAAACATATATATACTTATTGACTTAATAATTAATTAACATTATCATTTCTAAACCACTATGACTTATAATGTCAATCATTAAGTATTAATTTCTTTGATTAATATGTTATAATATTGTTAAGTACTAAAACTATTGTAATAATACAATTTTTACATTATAAAGTATATTTTTATTTTGCCCTTTTTAAGATATAGTACAACTTCCTTTTTATCATTAATATCTATTATATTATTATTTGTTTAAGACGGTGTTAACAGTTATTTGGTTAATTACGTTTTTAAACTCTTATCATGTAGTTTTTTATTACTTCTTCAATCGTATTCTCTTTGCTGGGCATTAAGCAGTGTTCGCAAATTTTAAACAATAGCATTAGCAGAGTTTGTTTACGAGAATATGCTTCTTTCTCCATCCTGTTTGACAGCACTTTATTCTGTTTCATCTGAAATTATAAAGCAAATTAGCTATTGTATAAGTTATAAACAATAAGTCAAAGTACAGCATGCATATTACATATATGTTTATGTACATTAATTTAATAATATTTCCACTCAAATAATGGTTATTTTCATTCGTAAATAAATACAGTGGAATAATTATAAAGTGATGATTGTTATAAAAGATATTTTGCTTTTTGGATAAATATTGTTTTTTTAAAACTAACAAACAAAAATAATAACATCAATTTAACTACTCTTTCATATCAGTATACGAGTATCACGCCAGCAATACAGATATTAACACGCCATATTTATCATATAAATAATAATCATTATGTTCAGCTAGTCTAAGTTAAACACAGTAAGACATATCATATAAGTTATAGTACATTTACATACTATAATAATATATACATTAACATTTCGCTATTTTGATGATATGTAAATAGCATGAAAACGCAATAAATAAAAGTTAATTTTTTTATCAGTCGATAATAATATTCTTAAACTTTAAACTTTAAAGTTTTACTCACTCCTTTGTACATTTGGAGTACAAATGTCGCATATGAAAAAAATCTGGGCGGTTGTAAGAGTTTCTCTCGTTTTACGAACCACAATTGAATGGTATTGATGATCATATTCACGTAAGTATCTCTTGTATCTCTCTATTACAATGTTAAATTCTTAAAATTAATAAAAATTGTTAATACTTGTCAAGACGACGTTATAAAAAAAAATCACCTCAATTATGTAAAGAGATAAATTAACTGAAGGCTTCATGGTATCTTGATTATTAACCACGTGTTCAATTATTTTCAATGCCAAAAGCATTAAATCTTTTGTTGGTGAGTTTTTCGTATCTACAATAGGAAATACAACTAATGATATCTGTGTACGTTTAATATCTAAACTTGAATATTATAAGTCAAACAGATTCTCAAAATACTATACAGAATAGTAATAATTATTATTTAAAATTTCAAAATGTAAATAACATCATAAGATTAAGTTGGTGCATTTTACATTATTAAGGTTTAAGTGTTTAACTACATACCTTTAACTATACGTTTAGCCATATCGTTTATGTCTTCAGGAAAACAATTTAAGTCTTTGATATAAAATTCGTTAGATTGACATTTCCCCGAAGTACGTGTTTCTTCTGAAGTATTTTGATAGTATTTACTATCTGGACCGTTATAAGTTTTTGATCTTCTGAGACTGAAGTCATTTTTTGGATCTGTCACACATTTATTTAATTGATCGTTCACAATAGATTTTGACTTTTGTTTAGACTCTTTAAATTGCACTTTTGGGCCCTAAAATCGTTCTTAAATTATTAACTGACATCGTTCTTGTGATTAATAATCAAAATGTCCACAGCAGTAGCCATTAAATTTATTAAGAATTACCTGAGTGTCTTTTTGTTGTACACAATATTTCATTTGTTGAAAATTATTCTTATATACAAAATTATTCTTATAATCGTAACTTTTCTTTTGACTATTTGGTTTAATATCATTTGTATAAAATGTCCTCGATCTTGATAATACACTAGAATTATTTCGAGTTCCTCTGAAAATATTATCACAATATTACTATCTAAAGTTTTTAATAAACTTTTTGAGCAATTATAAAAATAATATTAACAATCTATTACATACTCGTTGAATATTAAATTGTTTCTAGTAAGTATTAAATAAGTATGCTTATACCTCTTATAAGATGTATACCTACGAAGGATTTTATTAGGTCAATGACGTCAAATGCCAATTTCAATTAATGAACACAGTAGTACATATATAATGGTACAGAGTTGGTCAATAGAAATAATAAATCTCTTTTGATCAATTAAATGATTAGAAAAGTGTTTATCGAAAAATAATATTAATACATTTATAAGTGTTTTTATAATGTACAAAAAGACGAGTAATAATACTTATTGTGTAGATGATGGACATATATATATAACCGATATTTCAGATAATATTGTATTTATTAATATAATTTGAAAAAGTATAAACATCTTAAAATATAGGAGTATAAAAGTATCAGAAATTATCATTTATCAACTTTTTCAGATAAACTGAAACGAAAATAAAACTTTGTTGAGTAAATAAATTATAAATTACAATTCTTGAAAGCATAATAGTCTTATGAATTTTAAATATATTACGACTTAATTATCGTTAGTTGCTTATTATATTTATACATAGGTACATACATATATATATATACGTCGTATCCACATAGCAAAACCACTCATTTCATGAATTGGATATCCACATAGTGAAATTCGCCCAAATCATGAATTTCGTCACAAATGCATTATATTACGGACATCCATTTCATAAAATGAACAATACCTATATTATGCACTTTGTGTAATTATTATAAAACAATTTTTTTTTAGTTACCAATGAATTATATTATATTCTATTATATTTTAATTAATTTTTCATAAAAAAAAAAAATAATAATAATAATAATAAATATAATATAATATTATCATAACATACGTGTATAATTTTATATAATTTTTTATAAATGGCAGTGTTACCTATAAATAGGACTAGAATTTTAATGACATAGAAAACCTAAACAATTATCTAAAAAAACCTAAAAAATAACTCAATAAGAAAAAATTACCTCATAAAATGCTCAAAAAAAGTAATTATATTACCAATAAATTAATAAATAAATAATAATTTACGTATATTTTGAAGTATACAAATAAATTCATCTTCTGGTATAGAGTGACCAACGTCATTTGTTCTGAAATTAATATATTTTTAAATAAAATAATATCGTAAAGCTAAAATTTAAATTTAAGCTAAACTTAAATTTAATAATAAATTGATGAAGATAAAACGTAATGGAACACTATTATTGGATATTGCTCGGTTAGTCCAACAAGTATATTTTATATTGTACAAACGATTGGTATTTTGAAATAATAAATATTTTTAGAAAATATGTTTATAGTTTTATTTTAATGTTGTATATTTATAATATGTTTGTGCAATAATTTATAACGATCATTTAAAAACTCGATTTAAAAAATTTTAAAAATATCACCCAGATTTCAATAAAGTATAAAAAAATCCCGTAAAATTGAAAAAATGAACTAAATAAGATTAATAAAAGTACAAAAATGCAAAAAAATATTAAATAAAAACTATATATTGAACTCGCAAATAACCAAATCACATTTTGTGCTTGAAAAGCTATATCCTGTAAAGTGTAAATACTAAAAAAAAAAATGCAAAATCCCATACTATCTTTGTAAACTTTACCAATAAAGTTATAACTATAAAATAATATCCTCATTATTTATTTTTTTCACGACAATTGATTATGACATAAATTATTACATTTACATAGCATATTATTTTTAAAACATGCACTCTGACTTGATAGGCAAGGAGTTTTTGCCTTACACGAACAAGATAAAAATCCTTGCCCTCTTGAAATTTTTTTAATAATTTCAGGCACTGAAAATTTAACATTTTTATGAACTTGATCATTAGTGACAAATTGAATTGTTGATTTTTTCAAACATTTACTACTGAACCATCCTTAAAGTAAACCATATTTTGTTCCAATCTTATGCAATCCTCTTTGTTTCGTAATCGCACAAACTATGTTTGGTGGATCTATAAGTCCCCTACCTACTTTCAGTACTCCGAATACAACGCATTGATTTATTTCAAAATCGTCTGCACTTTTTTTTATTTCCCAATTAAAAATAATTTCAAATAAAGATCTAAAATAACATTTTTACCGTATTCTATATCTTATCTTGATCATTTTCTCTGAAGCTATAATTTTACTTTCGTTTCCACGTTAATGTTGAATTTATATTTTATTACTTGAATCGCATAATTGGCAAATAATTTTATTGTTTGCAGCAATCCCCAATAATAACAATTTCACTTCAACTTTACAAATGCTCCAGACAATTGAGCGTTTTTCAATTTCCTTTATCTGAGAATTATGTTCAAGATCTTCTACTTTTGTTAAATTCTTCAACAGATCAAATGGTAAATTTGATATAATTAGCCAAATTTTTGGGTCAATTTCCAAACAAAGCTTTATAAAACTACGTCCAAGTATTCAATGAAATTAACTATTTTTTTTGTAATTAAATAATATTTAATCCAATGTTCCATTTCTTGGCTTTGTTATCAGCCATTCATGCTCAAAACATCTTGCCTGATTAGACCTCTCAATACTTCTCTGACTTTGAGGGTATCTAGAGCATATGTCATAATCAATCATCATGCAAAAAAAAATAATACGGATATTATTTTATAATAATATTTCACAGGTAACACTTTTGTTTATAAAATACATATAATATATAATTATATATAATAATATTATATTTTTTTTATGAAAAATAAATTAAAATATAATATAATATAATTTATTGATAAATAAAAAAAAAAATGTTTTATATTAATTACACAAAGAATACAAAATAGGTATTATCCATTTCATAAAATGGATATCCACATAATGTATTTTCGTCAAAATTTACAATCTGGATGTCCAGTTCATGAAATGAGTGGTTTCACTATGTGTATGTTACATATTATATATATATATATATATATAGATATAGATATTAGCTACTGTAAACAATAATATGTATCTGGTGATTAAATTTATAACATAAAAAACTCACTCTTGTTTCGCACCATTCGAAATAGATTGAGGAGCTGTATTAGAACGTTCTAAGGAAAACTCTTTGGCGTGCACGTTCAGCTTACTGCAGTCTTCAGATATGACTGATGCATCTTGAACAGTTTTTGATTTCTGCGGTCCGTTGGCTACATATACATTATCACTGTTATTATTTATGTCACCTCGAACACCTACGTCATGCCAAATTCACGCTTTTAATAAAACTAATTTTATGCTGAACACCCAAACACATTCAATAGATAAGCAGCGGATATTAAGATTCTAAATACCAATTATATAAATAGATAAACTATAATATATAATACGAGTAAGAATTAAATATATTATTTTGTTAAAACAGATAATAGGCTATTTTTCATCTTAATGTTTAAAAATAAATCAATTGAGTTTCAATATAATAACAATGAAAGATATTTTTTTTTTAAATAAAAACACAATATTATATTTAATTTTTTAGTGTAGGTACTAGGTACAGTTAGATTAAAAATATACTTTCTCTATGTTATCGATTCGTTTTTGGTTAATAATTATTCGTAATAAACATGATTTTTTTTTTGTCTAAAATTTACTTACACATATATATTTAAAATTGTGATAAAACACGCGTGCCTAATGAATTATATTTCCATAAACTATAAGTAAAGTTTTAAACAATGTCACAGTTTTAATAAATACTATATCTCATTAATTTATTTCAATAATAATAATGCCATGCACGAATTTATGTAAAATGCAATTATTGTATTATCGGTATACAACTCGTGTTGCTAAATTACCCACTTACAGAGATATTTTTGATAATCATGAATCATTAAATGTATCTTAAAGTTAAAATAGCTTTCAGAAAATGTATACAACTAATTTACAAACTATATATACAACTGTACAGATTTCTAACAAAGTTCTCATAACATAATTGGTTATATCCTATTTCAATTTAAAAAATACACGCATCTTGACTGAATAATTTGTGAAATGTTATTTATAAATGTATCAGCTGTTCTGCACAATTTTTTCAAAAATTTTTAATACTTAAATATTTATATAGAAATTAATTATTGACAATATTTAAACTAAGCGTTTAAGCTTTAAAATAATCACTCTGTATAATATAGTTTCATTGTTATATAGTTTAAACGCGAGTGTATTAATTAAATTAATACCAACTTACCTACCTACTATATAGGCTGCGCATGTAAAATAAAAAGTGTATTTGGCGTATGTGATTTAAAAAGAACAAAAAATGTATGGTATCGTTCTTAACGCAGTACGTCATATTAAAGTAAACACAACAATAGAAACCGTTCCAATTAAATGAATCAATTTGTTAGCCATAACAATAATAATACGCGTCATATATGGTAGAACAAACTAAAAATTTAATATCACATGGCACAAATTAAAACTTCAAAACTTATAAATTAATTCGTTCAAATTGTTCACTATTTGTATTCTACAATGACACAGTACGCATGGTATGACAAACACAATTTATTATATTTTTAAATATTATATTATACTATACGTCTATACATACTCGGCGGACGATAGATTGCAAGCGTGGGATGTTTCTTTTGTCCTACAACACTGCTATTACTCCTATTCAGATAGCCTCCCTAACCAACACAAAAGACAAGAATTAAAATAATAAAATCAATTAGTCACCTAAACATTAACAATATTATGCAACTGATTAGTATAAACATTACAGTACTGTGTTTAATTCCTATTTATAAATATTTAAATATTATTAATACATAATAATAAACTGTACACGAGATTAATATGTATAATGTATTTACATTTTAATTAGTATTATATTAATGTGAAATTGAGAAGTAGATACAAATTATATCAATAAATAATAAGAAAACATAGAGATCGTTAGCGATTACTATGTTCTCAAATCAAGTAAAGTTTTTTCAAAAGTTTTTAGTATCGTTCGCTCGGAACATAATATTATTATAATGACGTGTAAGTCAAGTACATTATACGCACTGCAGGTACTTCTTGCGTGTTACTGTGACGTGTAGCGGACAAATTTTGTGGGCTACAGGTGACGAAAAAGCTCCTCTGGCGGTTCAACTCGTTTTCCAATTGTTTTTTAGTTTTCGGATTCGACGGATTACTTGCTGTAACTCGTTTGTTCTTCCGAAAACTATTATTATTTCCGCCGCCGCTACTGTTGTTGTTACCCTGGCTGTTATTGGTATTCATAATTCTTATCTTTTACGCCTTCGTCCGACAACTACTTTTATGCAATAATTTACTACTTCTCGTACCTGAATAGCATAAGGTTTGGAAAGTAAAAAAATCGTGTTATTAATGTTCAACTTCAATTATAGTCGCGCGCGATTAGTATTGAAAAAGTTTTCGCCGGTAATATTTATCACGCATAGGAGTAAGGATTGGCAGTCGTCGTGTAGAAAACGACAGTTTTAATATTATAAAAAAAAAAAATCTGAAAAAACATTGAAATCACCCAAACATGCGAGAAATCAACTTTCGTTAAACATTATGATATATCGTATAAATAATATGAAACTAATGTAAAATAATGAAGTATAATATTTTAATTACGTACGGTTTACAAAAAGTAGCCGCCGGGCGACGAGGACGGACCGCGAAAAGCCGAGCACCGAGTGACTGCGAGGAGCTAGTACAACTACCAGTCGTCGACATCGTCGTAGTCGTATAATATTAATATATGCCAGTATAGTGTATACCTATTATATTATGTATTATGTACATGTATGTATATATATATATATATATATATATATGTGTGTGTGTGTGTATTTATACTATATACTTTTATATATATATATACGTTTGTATTATATACATGAATACATGATGTATATTAAATATACATACACTCATTCAGTGAAGTAAATACAGAGTGTCTGAGGTACAAAGACGAACGACACTGTTCAACTAGGCACTTCACATAAATTATTTTACGATTAAAAATCAATTAACGATTTTTTCAATTTGTACTGATATTTTTTTTGAAATTAATTTCGGACGAGAAACAATCGAAATAAAAAAAAAAAACAAACGACAAAGGTTGCTGTAAGAGTGTCAATCACATCAATCATGTTTACCATGGAATTATGCGTATTGTGAGCACACTGTACGTTAAGTTGTGGCAATACCGCTGTACACCCGCTGTGTGTAACAAGAGTAAAACGTAAAAACATCACTTAACTCCTGTGCAGAGCACATGTCTATAAATAACTGCACGCGTCGGTCGATTCATTCTGTATGCATTTTTTTTGTTTGAAACAATTTTATTTTACTCGGCTCCGGCGCACACGCCATATCGACATAACGTTTCGAAAATAAGACGACGAGTCAAATGCGTATTATTATGATTTATTTAATTCGGAAGCGAAAGGAAGACGTTTTAAGCTGCCATCGGACAGGCCACGGGTGTTTGCCTGAACATGTTTTAAAATATCTTATTCCATATGAACAACCACGGGACTTAGAAAATCGCGGTGACAAATCTGTATTTAGCGTTTAGTGTGACTTTAAAGGGAAAGAAACGAAAATATAAATTAAAATGTTATCGGAAATGGTACGTCTTAATTTTAATCTGTGAACCACATTTAAAAAAAATTATTATGGTTTCACTGTTACTATTGCGTACAGAAAAACTATTAAATCCTAATGCTTACCGACAAACAAACATTTTTGAAGAAATGCCAGCTAATGCATTTTTTCGACTAAACTCATCTCAGAACTATTATCATTTATATACCTACATTCAATTTATCGTTACTTTGAAAATACAGTACTAAAATGTGTCACTGTCTTGTATAGTTGTATATTGTATCAAAGTGAGATGAGCAATTACGAAACGAATATCCCCAATCGTCAGATGGTTCAGTTTGAATAAAATATCATATTAAAATGAGTGCTAAAAATTGTTTAACATTAAATGTTAAAAATTAATTTTAAGTTTTTTGTTTAATAATTAATAGTACAGTACTGTTGGTAGGTATCAATAGTAACTAAATAAAATACTCTGATTTACAACAGTAGGTATCTTGTTAACGGTTACGTATGCTCAATTTTAAGTGACCGTCTTGATGATTATAATATTATTCGTTATAAGAAAAAAATCAATCACACATCTTAGGTGTTTGTACCTAACCTTCATTAATTATGATTAAATAATTTTGAATAAAAAAAAAGTCCATGTATGTAATTTTCGAACCACATACTAGATTTGATATAATATATATGATACGTTATTGAAAATATGCTAAAAATTACAATAAGTAACAATTTTTAATCTAAAAAGTCGAAAACTTTGAAAAAATCAAATAAAACTCTTGAATTGAACACCGGTAACTATACTTAGATTTTTAGATATTTGGGTTGAAAAATAATATGGGCCTATCAAAATACAGATTTTCCAGGTCAAAATTCGAATCCAGTTTGCGCTTATGTCAACCACAAGTAGGTACATAAATTGCCATTCCGTGCTATGTGTCCAATACACACATAACCACCTAAGTGTCTGCGGTACATTATCTCTTGATCATTACATGGACGATATAATTGTGGTTACTCGTAGATCTTCCACGTCCTATATGTATATGTTTGCGTGGTTCCTCGTTATTTTCCACGTCTGGTTAATGGGTTTTTTGTTTGTATGTGAAACGTAAGTATTGGGCATTTGGGTAACTTTGATTTAATTGCACCGCAACAGCAACCATTAACCACCCACAGCATGCCAATAGTAACCAGTAACCGTGGCATTATTATCGTCATCCCGGAATCGAACATAGATACTCATTAATACGTGAATAGAATACTTTATACCTCTTTTTAAGTATATGCGCGCACGGAGGAGTTGATGTTAGGTTTAGTTGAAGTTTATAAATATTATGGAATAGTAGGTAATGCAGAAAGATCTATTTTCAACATATAATAAAGTTAAAGCCGGTAAAATACGAAAATAGGAACACACCATTGGCACTATCTGTCCAGTAAAATAAAATTTTAAAAATGATTGTTGAACGAAATATAAATAAAAATAAAATATATTTGAGAGTGTTAGTTTTACAATTAAACTAGTATTTATGGTCGAATTTCGACCTATGGAAGACAGATATACTAAATTCAGTTTACTCATGACTAAATTAAAAATAATTTATGAACTTAAAAAAGCTTTCGGGTAGGTATTCACCTACAGGAAATTTTTTAGCATCCACCGCTCACCAATACATCCACTTTTATTACCTACCTATATAAAAAATAAAATCAACACTGAAAAATTAAAAAAAAAAACGTTCAAATTCCATTTTAAGATATAAGTTAAGACCACAGATTGGGATTCATTAAAAAATAAAAAAACCTTGAATTTCGACTTAAAACTAAGACTTTTGTAGGTTCAAGTTACTTTAAGTACCTAACAACGTTTTTAAATCAATTATTTTACTTTTTATTTTAGATGAATCTCGTGGCATTTTGATAAGAGATAACACATTTTTAATAAGAGCATGGGAAACAGTTTACAGAACACTTTCTGAAAAATATTTCTTGAAATATGAATGCAGAATTTTAATATGTAATATGTTTTATAAAATTTATGAATATATATTTTACATTTTACAAATTAAAATACCTGTAATGTATCCAAGTGCTTTATTTTTAAATATATTTTAATAATAGCATACCTACTTGTATACAACATAGTGATAACATTATTCTAGCTCTTATTACTTAAAAATACTTTTTAAATTTTAAAGATTTGATAAAACATTTTTTTGATTTGTATACAATTTGAATACATATTTTAATTATGATGTAAAATAAAAATTTGGAAAAATTAACTGATTGATCTCAAGCACATAATTATGATAATAACAATAACAAGTTCACAATTATTAGTACCATCCATATATAATCGATACATTTTGGTAGAAATAATAGACTATTCTCAACCTCAAAGACGCCACACCAATATTATATTATGTTCATCTAACAAAATTATAATCAAACAAATTAGTGCTGTTAGGTTTTGTATAGTAAACTTTAATAATTGAGTGAATTGGCCTATTATCAAACATAAAAGTAAGAACAATACCTGTTTTTACGAATTTTTAATTTTTAAGCAAAGCAAGTTATGGCTTTATAAGCATGAAAAATATTACAACTTAAAAAAATGTTATATTTGCTTAAAAATTAAAATATTGTAAAAAAAAACCTATGTTGAAACACAAATCATATTTTTACCACAGTTTTATAATAGGCAATTCATTCTGTAACTATTAAAGGTTACTTTACGAAATTGGAATCACTGAACACATTTGCTTAGTCATATATTTGTAAGACACGAGCATGTAACTTAAATTCATTAACTTTTAGACTGATATATTGAAACTTGGTCACATAACAATGTAAAGAAATTTTAATTTTATCACTAATCACTATTTCATGAGTTTGACTAAAAAGTGACAAAATAAAAGTAAGTATTTTAGTATTTTCAATATTTTAACTATTAAAATTTGCAACTGAATATAATAAAATAAGTATAATTATAATAGTAATAAAAATAATACAATACGTCAACTACATAAAATACTAAAAATAAGTGTTATTAATTTATTATGTTTTTTCAAGTAATTTAACAATAGCATGAATAAAAACTACTTTTGATTTACCTAAATAAAAGGTAATACATATAAATAATAAATATAATTAGTCTTCTGATTGTGTTAAAATATAACTAGAAAAATAATCAAACAATAATTTTATTAAACATTTACTGCATATTTTTCACTTCTGTTTGATTCTAAGGATAAATGGTACCTAGGAATTTCATTTTTTTTTTCATTAAATTCTTCAACTTTATGATCAATGCACCGGAACTGCCATGGCCACATAACATTGTATAGAAATGGACGATGGTCAAAGCGGTTGTCATCTGGACTATATGCTTCAGCATGATAACTAGGAGTCAAGATAGTCATTTTGTGTCTGTTTATAGCATAACATCTAAAAAAATGTTTTACTTTTTCTGCAATTTGTTCAGCCGTGTATTTATCACCCCACAATAACAACAACTTACAAAACATACTATATGGGCCACAATAGTTTTGCTTTCTCAATTTTCCATAGACACAGAGCTCGTCATAAGTCATACCCATATCCACTTCATCTGACTGTGCAATGCGTCCTGCTATCAAGGGCTCTAGTTCTGCTGTTGGAGTGGCATTTATGATATCATCAATTGATGACAATGAATACTTAGTTCTAAAATATCTAAGAAACAATCTGAGATCAGATTTTGAAATGCCACCTATTGGATTGACATCAGCACTTGAACAATCATATTTTGTCATATATCCTCTTAGAGCTTCATCAACATTAGCTGAACCTAAGACCAATAGTCCTCCTTGTCTACCACGGACCCAGAGCATTAATTGAGCAAATAAGTATGTCAGAACCATTCTTAATCGAGCCTGTACATTTTGTAGAGCAAGAGATTCACGCGGAGATCCACCATATACAGCAAATTGTGGTGTTTTACCAGTTAGACCAACAAAAACAGAAATTACAGATGACACAACCTTATCAAATACAACACTCAAATGATAACTAGATATTTGAGAAGATAATTCTTCTGCTCGTT